GGGCACCGGCTCACCGTCTGCTCCACCACGATGGGGATGAGCGGGATGTGGCTCACTGGCGTGCGGTGGAGGCTCCGGGGCGCGGTCACTGCCTGGCAGCCGGGCCGGAGGGCGCGCTGGGGACAGACCCGGCCGGTTAGGGGAGACTGAACCGCTGCCCCCCCGCCCGGGGATAGGTCACTTCCTAGCACTCCTGCCCCCTCCACCCCCAACCCGCTCTGTGCCCAGCCCCCGCTCAGCACTGCAGCACCCCCCTGCCCTGCTGCTACCGGAGCCCGAGGCAGGGACCCCCCATCTCCTCCAAACAGGGGCCTGCCCCCGGCACCCCCACACCAGGGAGGGAGATGAGCCCAGCGCCACCGATGAAATCCTCACTTCCTACTCTAACCACCAGCCGGGAGAGAACCCAGGAGTCCTGGCTCCCAGCCCCCCGCCCCAACCACCGCCCCCCCCACCCCTCCCACGCCCTCCAACCCAGCCCCTCCCCTTCCCTGCCCCCGCGACCCGGAAGTTATACCCTGCCCCTCCCCTCAGGAGGTGGAGCCTGTGGGAGTCCTGGGATCAGGGCCCCTCAGAATGGAACTACAGCTCCCAGCATGCATGGCGCTGCTGCAGTGACTGCTGGGGATTGTAGTTCTATCCCCTGGGCTGCTGGATGGAGGAGGCGGAGAGGGGTCTAGTGGTTAGAGCGGGGGGGGGGCGGGGGGCCAGGCCCCCTGGGTTCTCTCCCCGGCTCTGGGAAGGGAGTGGGTCTAGTGGTTAGAGCGGGGGGGTGGGGCGGTTTAAAAGCCAGGACTCCTCGATTCTCTCCCCAGCTCTGGGAGGGCAGTGGGGTCTAGTGGTTAGAACAGAGGGGGCTGGGAGCCAGGACTCCTGGGTTCCCTCCCTGGCTCTGGGAGGGGGGTGGGGTCTAGTGGTTAGAACAGGGGGGCTGGGAGCCAGGACTCCTGGGTTCTCCTCCCCTTCCCCCACCAGCATGATGACTTTGTGATCCAATGCAATGGCTTTATGTGGTGGTGTCGTTGTGACCAGGACACAGCTGCTGACCAACACCCCCCCTCCCCCCCGAGAGCTGGGGATGGAACCCAGGAGTCCTGAGTCTCAGCTCCAAACCACCCCCTAAAGAGGGTGATGCTGTGTCCAGAGCCAGCCTGGCCGTGATGGAGGAAGTGAGACAGATGATTCCTCAGGGTCCTGGCAGAGGCTGTCACCCCCCTGACTGTGGGTGGCAGCCCAGTGCCAAGCCGCCCCCACCCACCTCAGGGTCTCTAGTGCCCACCCAGATTTCACACCCCATGTTCTGCATCGCCCAGTCCATTGGGGAACCTGGCAGAGCCTGCAGCCCCCGCACACACCACACAGGGGCAGCAAGGAGCGAGGAATAGCCAGGCAGCCAGTTAGAAGTTGGGGGGCCAGGGTGGGGTCTCCCCATCCTGTCTCTCTCTCCAGCCCAGGTGCCCCCACAGGCTTGGTGCCATTGTGGCGGACGTTGGAGGCACAACAGCCCCTGTTGGAAGTGGGCTGAGACCTGCCCAACTCGATCCACCCAGGGACGGCAGAACAGGCTGGGTGTGAGAGGGGAGTGGCGGGCATGCCACAGAGCCAGGCGCTGGCACTTGGGAAGGGCACCAGGATTTACGAGGTGTTAATTGGTGGCGTGTGCCTGTCCCCACAAAGGGTCCACGCCCAGGGTGTGAGAACAGAGGGTGAAACCAGGCAATGATTAGATTGCAGAGATGGCTCAGCTAGCGGGGACAAACCTCAGACGACTCAGATCACGCCCCCTGGTCTCCCACTAGACCCCATGCCCCCCGCTGGAGACGAGGCTAGAACCCAGGAGTCCTGATTCCCTGTACCCCTCTCCCACCCCTCCTCTGAGCTCAGGGGCGTGTCTCTCTGTTTAGAACAGTGTAGCTAACGTTTAGGGAATTCTCACGTTGGGGGTCTTTGAATCCAGGGTTCACTTTGGGATTTAACTGATGTAGCTCATGTCGCTCCTCCCCTAGGCAATGAGATATAGGAGTTAAAGCGGGGAGGGGGGGTAGGGACCCTGGACTCCTGGGTTCTGTCCCTGGCTGTGGGAGGGGAATGGGGTCTAGTGGTTACCGCAGGACTCTGGGGTTTTATTCCGCACTCCAAAGACATGCTGTGTCCTTGGGTGAGGCACGGTCAGTGCCTCAGTTTCCCCTGTGTAGCCAGGGGCAAACACTTCCTGAGTTTCCCAGAAAGGGCCCCAGGAACTGAGCCCTTTGGGCCAAGTCCATCCAAGATGTTACTGCAGGGCAAAGTGTTCTCACCCGGCCTCCTCCCCGCCCGCAGTAACTATCCCAAGGCAACTGGGAAAGAAGATAGGGCGCTCCCACGTGTCAGCGTCATTCCCTGTCCCCCGGGCGTGGGACGGTGCGATCCAGAGCTGGGGGGAGTGCAGGCTGAAGGACGACACCAGGCGCCCAGAGCAGCCGGAAGAACACGCCACAGAGAGGGGACTGGGGTGGCTTGGTTAGAGCAGGGGGGGGCTGGGAGCCAGGACTCCTGGGTTCTCTCCCTGGCTCTGGGAGGGGAGTGGGGTCTAGTGGTTAGAGCGGGGGGAGCTGGGAGCCAGGATTCCACGGGAGTCAATGGGACCCATCCCCAGCTGGTGGGGCTCAGTGGAGCTGGTTTGCTTTACAGCAGGAGAGGATCTGGCTCCTTGGGAGCGGATTCTGGGCCCGGCCCACCCACTAGTGCAAACTGGGGGGGAAATTCCCTGCCTCCCCCATTGGCCTGGTGGAAATGCCATGTGGGAGGAGCGAGCACCACACCTGCTGGGGAGATGCTGTGGTTGCCAAGGGTCACTGCTGAGGTTTGGTCCCCGCCTGGGGCTGCCAGGCGTGTCCCACTCACCCCGAGTGAGTCACAGAGCCTGAGTCGCTTCTTCCTGGCACTGATTCCCGGCACTCCCTGGGCTCCAGCAGCAACCCCAGGGCTGTTTGCTGACTCAGCAGGGCCCCTGGCTCCCCCCCCAGAGCAGGGCGCAGGCACAGGGTGGGGTAGGTCTATTGCCCACTGGGCACTCACATCTCTAACCCACTGAGAGGGGCACAGGGCGCACCAGCTCTGATCCGGCCCCAGGGCTGGGGGCGGGCTGGCTCGCGGGGGGGGGGGGGGGCATGGGACCTGTCTCCTCTAGGGGGCACCGGCTCCAATCAGGCCCCCAGTCAGGAGAGACCAAGATTCATTCCCCTCTGACAGAGGCTTGGTGTGAAATGAGTTTGGGGGGTCTCAGGCCAGGGGGTCCGTAGCGCTGGTTGGCAGGATCAGCGCTGGCTGGGCCATGGAGCCAGAGCAGCTGCTCCCTCGGTTCCCGTGCGGGCAGGAGCTGCCCCGGTGCTCAGGCTAGGAGGTGGAAGCCCCCAGCTGGGCGCCGGGGGAGAATTTCTGAGTGGAATCTCCAGACAGTCCAGCCGCTTCCAGCCCCCACCCTGGCCTGAGCCCAGGCAGCCGCTGGAGTCAGCTGTTATATTGTGGTAGCGGCCAAAGTACTTCCCCCCCCCCCCCACGCCATACACTGATGGAACTGAGGATGCCTGGCTCCCAGCCCCCCTGCTCTAACCACTCTCCACCACTCCCCTCCCAGAGCTGGGATAGAACCCAGGAGTCCTGGCTCCCAACCCCCCTGCTCTAACCACTAGCCCCCACTCCCCTCCCAGAGCTGGGATAGAACCCAGGAGTCCTGGCTCCCCTCCTGTTTCTTGTGGGAAATGTTATGAGGCCAAAGTCCCAGCTCCCAGAGGCAGCCACTGCTTCAGCTTGGGCTTCCCCCTGGGAGGGCAGTGGGGTCTAGTGGTCAGAGCAGGGAGAGCTGGGAGTCAGGACTCCTGGGTTCTCTCCCCATTGCGGGGAGGAAGCAGGCTCTAGTGGTTAGACCCCTGGCTCTGGCGCAGAATTCAGCTCCCTGCCCCCACCCTGGCAGATTAGCAGCTGTTTCCATCCCACTTTCCCAGCGCCTTTTCTTTCTGAACTTTTTTATCTAGACAGGAAAAGAAACAAAGAGCCCGTTCAGCGTTAGCTGCATGGCACCGGCCCCAGACGCCCGTGGGCACGGCCCTCGCAGGGCTGGAGCGCCCAGCTCCCAGCCCCCCCGCGCTGTGCGAGCTCACCCGCCCTCCGCCCCAGGATCCACGCGCTGGTGCCAGGACTCTCACTTCCCCCACCCTGATCTCGGCTGGGGTCTGAGCAGCGCCCGGCGCGACGGGGCCCTGATCTCGGTTGGGGTCTGGGCAGCGCCCGGCCCGACGGGGCCCTGATCTCAGCCGGGGTCTGGGCAGCGCCCGGCCCGACGGGGCCCTGATCTCAGCCGGGGTCTGGGCAGCGCCCGGCCCGACAGGGCCCTGATCTTGGCTGGGGTCTGGGCAGCACCCGGCTCGATGGGGCCCTGATCTCGGTTGGGGTCTGGGCAGCGCCCGGCTCGATGGGGCCCTGATCTCGGTTGGGGTCTGAGCGGTGCCTGGCACAGTGGGGCGCTGATCTTGGTTGGCCTGGCACAGTGGGGCACTGATCTTAGTCAGGGCCTGGTCCCATTATCATGGTCTAGATGGGCCCTGACCATTTGCCCCTCCATAGCGTCCCAGAAGGCGTCCGTACATGGGCAATTTTTTCAGTTGAATGGGCCCCCAATTTGAAGCCAAAGAAGCCTCCCACGCCGTGTACTCCATGAATTTCACACTGATTTCCTGCCCCCGTCTCCGCACCCTGCCCCAGCCCATCGGCTGGCATTTCACCATCCATCTCTGCTCTGGAAGGAGCTGGCATGACCCTGCGTGGCCCATTGCTGGCGAGCCACAAGTCAGGGCTGTATGCGGCTTGCTGGGCTCCCCAGCCCACCCCGGGGCACTGGGTCATGGCTTAGGTTAGGGGAGATCCTGCCCGAAGCTACAGGGGGGCTTTGATCCCAAAAGGAGCCCCACCAGGTGCCCCCCAAGCCCAGCACCACTTTCAGTGGGGAGAACAAACTTCAGCCGTGGCCCGTGGCTTCTATCCATGGCACGACAGAAGCAGGGAGGCACCGGAGATGCCAGCTCAGCGTCAAGGCCAGTGACTTATCTCGGGCTGGGCTGGCGCGGTGCCAGCCAGCTCGCTGAACACGGGCCCACATGGGCCCATCCTTTGCTGACAGCTGCCCTTGGAGACGTGGCTTGAGACCTCCCAGCTAAACAGCTGTGGCTTATCTGTGAGTCTATCCGGCACGTCGGGCTGCTTTCTCCATTCCTCTGTGGAGCGAAGCCGTGGTCCTTCTGCCCGTCGCCGGCCTCCAGTCCCGTGTGCACCCCTGGGGAAGCCAGATGCCCCCACCCCCCATGGTGACACCGCATGGCGCCGGCTGGGGCTCCCAAGAGCCTGTCTGCATCCCCCGGTGTGTTTGCCCAGGCTGCAAGGCGTGGCCACGGGGTGGAGTCAGCCCAGGGGAGCCCTCAAGCGAATGCCGAATTGATCCCATGGCCGAATACGGCTCTCACTGACATGAGCTTCCGGAGCCGGCGATGGGGTCACTCCTGCTTTACACCTCTAAGGGAGGGGAGGATCCGACCCCCGTGAACACCCAAGGTCATCGAAACCCAGCCAGCTGTCATATCGCCCTGATCTCTGTGCCGCTCCCTTGAATTGCTGCAGGGGAGCACGGCTGGTCGCTTTCACTCTGTGCGTGCCGGCCCCGCTGGCGTAAACCCTCTGCATCGCTCCAGGGCAGCCAGGGTGATTTACACCCAGAAGGGATCTGGGCCCATCTCCGGCGCTAGGTCCAAGGCTGTTCCCCTCATTATTAGTGGTTATTGAGTAATCAGCACCTCCGCCGGACTTTGACGCCTGAACGGGGGTTACGGCCATGTGCTGGTGCACTCCCCGGGGCAGGGCGATCATCCCTCTTTGTCAGACTAGGGAAACTGAGGCCGGGAGGGACGCAGGGACTCGCCTACAGACGGAGGTCGGGGTGTGTGTATTTTTCCCTCCAGCTCCTCCACCTCCATACACCGTCCTCAGTGAAATGTACCAAGGGACGGGAACTGTAACCATTGAAAACGGGCCCCCGCTCGGGGGCTGAGCTGTAGCCAGGCTGACGCCGCTCGCCGGAGCCACAGCGGACGGGGGTCTATGATACCCTGCTGTGGGAGGCTGCCACCTCTGCGCATCCCTGGGCTTGGCCAAACTGGCACATGGCTGGGCCTTTAGGCCTGTCTGGTCCCAAGTGGCTGCAGGTGCCTGACGTCTGTGTCACTTAGAGCAGCTGGGAGTGGCTCTATTTTATCGCCGCACAGGGCCGCTCTGCAGTGGTGAATTCCCAGAGTAACGTCTGCTATGGGGCCTCCCAGCTCTTCCCACCATCTACCCCAGCCAGCCAGCCCCTCCCCGCTTGATCCGGTCTGTCCTCACTCAGGCAAAACTCCCATGGAAATCGCAATTTGCGAGCTGGCTCATGCAGTGTCGTCACATAAAACCTAATTCATTTGATTACTGTTGATGAATCCGCCAGGGTGGCCCTGCTGCGACCGCACAATCTCGACCCCCTTTGCGTTACTCCACTTTGAATCGTTGCAGCAATAAGTGAAGTCGCTTGGTGCTTTTCCTTTCGTTTATTGATTCTTTTTCTTAAACCCTTTTCGCTTAAAACGCCCCGTAGCGTCTTCCCAAGATGATTTCATGCCTGAGCACAATCTACTCTGTCGGCTTGTTTCAGAAGCGACTGCTTCTGGGGAGGAGACCATTTGAGGCTTAATACGTTTGGGATCAAAGTTATACTAGTATTTTGGCCAAATGTTCATGATTTCTGCCCCGGGATGCATTATCATCCCACTATTTAAAAGATAGAGAAACTGAGGCACGGAGTGGTGAAGTGACTTGGACAAGGACATGTAGGAAATCAGTGGCAGAGCTGGGCCTAGAACCCAGGCGTCCCAAGGTAATCCCACCCAACCCAGAGTTCAAAGTGATGGCGATTCTGATCCACACGTTTTACAAGCTTGCCTGTGTGTTTTACTACAATAGAGAACCAGGTTCTGATTGCCTTTACACTGGTGTGACTCTGGAGTCACCCCATTTGAGTGATTCTGGAGTCACACCGGGATAGCTCAGATCAGTGCCTAGTCTGGAGTATTAAAGGCCTCATTCTTCCATGGATTCCAAAATCCCTTTAATGTGGGATTTGGCTTGCTCTAAAAAATAATCAACTACAATGCGTTTCACCTAGGTCTCTCCTGATTGGTCCATGGAGAAAGCTGGGGTGGGAGGAGGCGAAGCAAAGTAGTTCATCACCCAATCAAAGCGGCCTGGGTGGTCACATGCATTAAAGCTTTGTCCAATCAGGTAGGTGGGAAGGGCACATGGTGGTTCCAGTAGTGGGATCC